ACATTTGTCCGTCATCCAAATGCGTCATGGTACGTCTCTTAAACATTTCTAGCTGCCTCTATTTTCTACGCAGGGTGCTACTTAAACCAAATAGTTGTTTTCGTTTAGATATTTTGTTTAGTCATAAACCATTTAACCCTCATTTTTTTTTTTAATGCATGTCGTTTTATACAGACGATAACATTGATAATGAATGTTGAAACATTTTTCTAGTATTCATAGAAATACGAGTCGGTCTTTCAATCACTAAGTTTTAATATGGTACATTTAAATCATGTCATATGATACCATATTTATTTCATCGCCCTGGTGTTAAAAATCGTTATCATCCAACTGGACTATCGTGCGCTGGCGCTTCAGTCACTCCAGAGTGCGCCGAAGACAGACGGGACGCGCGCACACCGCCAGTGTTTACGTAAAACGCTCATTGAAATTGAATCCTAAGTACTTTAATTTCAAGATGAACTTTGGCAACAATGACAATTTAAGGGCTATTGTGGAGGTTGATGACATACAATCTACGGCTGATTTAGCAACAGCTTTCGACGTTAGCGTCAAAACAATATTGGTACATTTGCGTCAAATTGGCAAGGTAAAAAAGCTTGATAAGTGGGTGTCCCACAAACTAAATGATCAACAGAGCTAAGTATGCATCGAGCAGTGCGAGGGGGACTGGGATGCCGTCTCCTCCTTTTGCGAAGCAGTTATGCTAGCTAAGGAGGAGGCGGGACGCGTGAGGCAGCGAAGCGCTGGCTCTTCGCAACCCAGCCATCGCGAAGGACACACCGGGCGTCGGGGATCGCGGGACGATCTCCAGTTACCGTAAACGCGGGTCTGCGGACGGTGAGCATGGGTGGCTCCCCGTCCGACCAGAAACAGACCCAAGCGTACGGGGCGTCGCGTTCCGCGCGCGCCTCAAAGAGCCATCAGACCACCACAGATGGGGCCCAACAGGGTCGATGCCGATTCGGAGTCGCGGAGAACCTAACGGGTAACCGGGGCTCCGGCTCGACGTGCAGGAGAAGAAACGGGGTGATTTTTAGTCAGTAAGAGTCTGTCAAAGTCAAATTCAAAGTCAAAGCATTTATTTCAATTAAACCATAGTTTGGTGCTTTTGAAACGTCAACAAATACAAAATAAATAATAGTCTGTCAGTCAGTCCGTCAGTGAAACTAGGTGAAGCTAGGTGCTCATTCCAAAAAGTAGATTCGAATGGAGAAGAACGAGCAAGAAACTCCATTCGTTACTCTTTTAAAAAAAGTATGTTCTACAATGTCTCTGATACATATTTCAATACTGTACGCATATGTAAGAACAATGCAAAGACACGCTTGACGCATTATACTAATAACTTACAAAAATTAAAAAAAAAAATTAATAAAAATTAACTTAAAGTCCAACATGGTGCTCACATATGCATACTGACAATCCATAGAATTAGTGCTTCTATACAAGAAAAGGAAACTCTTTGTTTCAATAAAGAAATGCTCGATGCCATAAGGAAACTAGATTGTCTACATTAGAATTAAAGTGTTAAATTATGTATTAAAATACCTACTATTGGAATTTAGCTACTGACTACATTTGAGTATTGTCCAGTGGAGCCGAACCAACATGCTGCCAAGCATTCTTATCTTCAAGATAATCTGTCAGTGTGTAGTAGGCTTGATTACATAATTCGCGCTTAATATATGTTTTAAACATATATTAAGCGCGAATCTCTGACACTCTTTCCCGTCTCACCCAGGCGGGAGCAGTCATTCGATGATTTTCCACCCTTAAAAAAATGCATCGAGTAGTGCCTTGCACTGCACTGCTCAATATACACACAAATGAAAGAATTTTGATTTGCATTGTCACCTCCGATGAAAAATGAAATCTATGTGATAACCACACGCGTTTAGCATGTTGGTTGAATCCTAGTTCAGCACCTAAACAATGCCCTAAACGAGAACTTACCCCTAGAAAAGTGATGGTCACTGATGGTCTAGCGCTCGCGCTATTCTGATTCGTCACAAATTCTTACCAAACGGAGTGAGCATTACTACGGATGTGTAGTGTGAAGAACTGAACACAATGATGGAGAAGCTGACACATCTCCAACCAGCACTGGTCAATCGCTAATCTCCATTGCTCCTGCATTACAACGCGCGACCTAAAGCTGCACAAGAGACGGCCTCCACGTTACAAGAACTGGGGTTGTGAAGCTCTCCGACATCCACCCTACTCACCAGTCACCAGACTACTTCTTTTTCCAGAATTTGGATAACTTCTTCGCGGGAAAAAATTTAATAACCGAGAGGCAGTACAAAATGCATTTGAAGAATTTGTTGCTTCCCGTCTAGCTGATTGAAGAAGGGCAACAATAAACTGCCACTGCGTTGGCAACGATGCATTGATTGCATGGGTGATTACGTTGATTATACAAATAAAAAATACATGAAAAAATCGTTTAAATTTTTTCATACAAAACGGCAATTTCAGTAAATGACCCATTAATTTAATTGATTTTGCTGAAATATAATCGATATTCCTATTGAAACTGTAATTATTACTCTAAATAAATACTTTGATATTGTGTTGTGTTTATTTATTCAATGTAAGCATCTAAGATTTTCGGTGATTGCGATATATCCAGGTTGTTTTATCAGCCATTAATCGCCTTAGATGTAAATAAACATAAACATTAAACGTTATAATTTCAATGTTATTTGTCACATAAGTCAATTAGCCTGTCACTCATTTTAGTCTGAATTGGTAGTTAAGATAAATAACTTGCTTCTATTAATTTTGGGTGTCGTCACTTCATATTTTTTAGCTTACTCTGTAAATAGAGTGCATTGTCGCTTAATTTTTTTCCCTTGTAGCCAATTGTAGTTATGAAGTCACTTAAATCATTTTTCCTGACTCTAAAAAAGGGCAGATTGTATTAAGCGACATTTATCTTTGTTATTAAAGGTCCGCTTTATTTAGAATTAGCATCAGCAACTAGATAATTTAATTTAAATTTCAATGCAATTTACCCCGTTCAAATAACTGCAGAAGCGTTTTTGTTACGAATTTTTTTTCGAAATTTCAAACTTTAAAAGGCTCTCCTGTAAAGTTGCAAAAATGTCGCTTAAACCAAATAGCCCGTTACCCCTCGATATGTTCTGTGAAGTAGATCGATCGACCGGAGTAGGATCGCCGCGACCGCGCACGCTGCTCATGAGGAAGGACCTCTCTGTGGTTCGAAACTAGTAGAGCTTTTCTCAGTTTTTTCCTCGTGAGTAACCCGCGATTTTTGGTAAATTTAGTATGTCTCACGATATCCTTACTAATATTATAAATCTGAAAGTGAGTTTGTTTGTTTGTTCCACCTTCACGCGGTAAGTACTCTACCGATTGCTTTGAATTTTTGCAGACGTAAAGTTAGAAGTCCGGATTAAATAATAGGGTACTTTTAAACCCGGACAAAGGGCATTGACTAAAATTGGTGCCTTTCTTTTTTCTGGCGGCAGTCGATGATTTATGGAAAATATTATGTAGAATGTCATTACAAACGAAATTGTCTATGGGCTCATATATGGAAATCTCAGTCTGGACTGAGTTATGAGCGTTGAAAGGAGCTGGAATAAATCATTTTACTTTTGGTTTTTTATTCAAATTATTCATATTTTTGTCACAATTCTAACTACAAATTGCGCGCCACTGTACGCCGGGCACAGAAACACCAAATCACACCACAGTATATCCATATTGCCAGTCGCTAATTTTTATTAGCTATTTTCTCTCAGTCGACAACTTGTAGGATGCTTCTAGGAGTTGTGTCGAGAAGCTTCATGAGTGTCAGCTGTGGTACCATTGGTGAGTTGAGTAGTTGTAGCCGTCCAAACATCTAATAAAGTATTTTTTTTTGCCGTTGACTCCTGGTGGGAGACTCATCTACTTTGTAGTTAGCATAATTTTTTGAAGAAAGCAAACCGTCGACCTTGTAAAGTGATGGACTATACGTCAGATGAGCGCATAATTTTTTCATATAATGTGATCATTCGCATCACTTTATATGAAACGATGTCTATGTACAGAATCTTATGCTAGATGTAGATTAAAGTATTGACTGTAGTTAGATTAGGTACTAATCGGAAGTAAGTCGGGAGAAGTAGACAGAAAAATGATTTTTTCGTGTTTTGACGACAGTTACTACTCAATCCGCTACCGACGCCGCAGCTGAAAAACATAGCATTTAATGATAGGGCTCAGTAAACTATTTTGCGGGTTTTTGACTGAGAGGAAAATGATAATAAAAATCTGTCATGGGCCATAAACCGTATACATATAAATTGAACACGCTAGCCACTCAAACGAAATGTTTTTCTTTTTCTTCGGCAGTGGTCAGTTAATGGTTCACTCTGTTATGATTCCGTGGCATTATAACAAAAAAATAAAAAAAATAATAAAAAAAGAAATAACAAACAAAAAAAATAATTATAAAAGTCCACAATAAGCTTTATTATATTCCTTGAAATCGTCTATAAACATTTATTACAAAATACGATCTGACAACTAAATGAAGAAATATGCATTGTGTACGGTCACCATCAACAAAATCACAGGAATTATGTAGCACAATCTCACATCTTTGAACTGATTTAACTCGGTTTGGACTGTGTTTTTGATATAAGACCCCATATATTTTTTTGTTTGTAATGTTATTCTGCATCAGTTTATCCACATCAGATCAACTGCCGCGAAAAAATGAAAAGGCACCATGCTCCATACAAATTTGGTCATTGTCATTTATATTCCCGAGGAAAAACAAAAGTATTGGTATAGATGGCGCTGTGTGTATTGGTATATGTCACATAGGCTACTTTTTATTCTTTTGTGACGCGAGCGAAGCCGCGGGTAAAAGCTAGTAGAATATAAAACAAAAAAAATTTGTTCATCTTTTAATGTCTATTAATAGTAAGGTTTGCTAGTTTACTATAAAAGTCTTTTTCTAGTTGTACAGTAAGAAGATGCGTCCCCCGCACGTGGCGTGCGCGGTGTCGCTCCAACCTGGCGGGGTGTGCGTGTGGGGCGCCGGCGGCCCGCTCGTGGCGCGCGACGTCTGGGGCCGCTGGATGCTGGTACTATTACCTTATGGGACAAGCCGGTAAACGAGCTGACGGATCACCTGATGGTAAGCAATCGGCACCGCCTGAAAGACTAGAGGTGTTAGAAGTGTGTTACCGGCCTTTTGGGGATTAGGAATTTTAGGTTTAGGGAGATTGGGTAGGGGGGGGGGGTAATTGGGCCTTCGATAACCACACTCACATAATGAAACACAATGCGGGCGTTATTTCACGTCGATTTTCTCGCTACCGACAGACCGGTCTGATATTTGGTACACATTCTTATCTTGATGATGATCATCCTTATTATCTAAATATTTCTACAACTACTTCCATTAGGAATATAAAACTAACTTATATAATGAAAGACAAATTATATTTTATAATTGTACTTATATAAACCATCTCTGTCATTTTACAATGAAATTATAGTGAGTACTATACTTAAGCGCGACTTAAATTTGAGTGACGTCTGATTATTTCGTCGTAAGTGTAATGTTACGTATAAATTTATTTAGTTAGGGTTGGGTGTGAGAGGCCCAGGGTGCGGCGCGCCGTCTCGCTACTTGGACATGATGAGCTACTACCCTTGGGTCGAGAAGAGTCTGGACGAGTTCAATAAGATCACCATCTCTAAGATATCCAAGCAGAAATATGTATTGCGTTGTGAGTCCATTTATTTCATTGTATGGCTTACTTTATAGGGTTGTTTTTTTGTTATAACTAGCTTCTGCCCGCGACTCCGCACGCGCGATAAATAGTTTAACTATACAAGGTGTAGTTTTGAAACCGTGACGTTTCTCGGGGGTATGTCACTGAAGTCAATAAAGGTTCAATGTAAGGGAAAACTCGGGCCAGTAGTTAAAAATACGGTTATAATAAATCGTTTAAGTTCGACAATATTTCAGAATAAGCGACAGCAGTTTCTTATTGGAGTTTTATGGAATCCTTACTATCTAATAATATTATAAATGGGAAAGTGAGTTTGTTTGTTTGTTCCACTTTCACGCCGTAACTACAAATGCTTTGAATTTTTAACCGACTTCAAAAAAGGAGGAGGTTATACGTTCGGCCGGTATGTTGTTTTTTTTTTATTTATTTTTTTGCAGATGTGAAGGTAGAAGTCTGGCTTAAATAATAAGGTACTTTTTATTCCGGAAAAATTTGATATTCTCGAGGGAAAACGAAATTATTGGTATAGATGGCGCTGTGTGTATTGGTATAAGTCACATAGGCTACTTTTTATCCTTTTGTGACGCGAGCGAAGCCGCGGGTAAAAGCTAGTTAGGAATAATTACCCGACTGCCAAAGAAGGAGGGTAATGTTTTTCGAGTGTATGTAAGTATGTATGTATGTCTTTTCCTTTGTGACCACCTGTAGCCTAAACGGCTTGATGGATTTTGATGTATGAGGTATCGTTAGATTTGTCTTGATTACGGGAGTGTCATAGGATACATTTTATCCTAAAAGTCCCACGGGATAAAGACATAATAATATTTTTTCTAAATTTCCCTTTAAAAAAATATGTATGCGGTATCATTAGATTCATTTCAATCACGGGAGTAATTAATATAGGATACGTTTTTTCTCAAAATTCCCACGGGAACATGTTAATTCTGCGTCAACGCAAAGCAACTCATGCGTTAGCAAGCAAAAAGATAGGGCGTGGCCTGGCATGCGGCGCGCGGCGCGGTGCGGAGGGGGATATGCTCGAGTATACAGCCCGATTGCGGGCACACGCATGAGGGCACACGTCGTTGACGGTCGTCTCTAAATAGCGATTTTTTCGATACTTCGTCGTCTGACGCGAAACTTATAAAGTATAAATAACTCGTTCTTTTTTTTTTCTTTCGTGTTTCTCTCTTTAAATTTATTCGTTCTTTCTAATTAATTAACTCGTTCTTCCGTTCTTTTTTTTGGTTCTTTCTTAAATTCTTCATATTAATTAATAATATAATAATAATTAAATAAAAACAGCTAAAAAGTTATAAATAAAAAAATTATTATTAAAAAAACAAAATACCCGACTGCACACTAAAAAAAGAGTAAAACAAGCCCACAATAATATTGATCAATCAAATGCTAAAAACTAATTATGTAATACCGTTTAAACAATACCTATATTAAAATACACTACAATATGTGTTCGTAATCGATAGTTAAATAAACAGAAACTTATTTTGAATACAAATTTACTGAATATAATTTATAAATGTTGATGGAAAGCATCGCAGGCGGGGACCACCTTGACCGCCACCAACGAAAATTCTGCTAAATGGTGCACAACCGAAATGACTATAAATAAGCCTCTGTTGGCCCCCGCCTGCGATGCATTCCATCAACATTTATAAATTATATTCAGTAAATTTGTATTCAAAATAAGTTTCTGTTTATTTAACTATCGATTACGAACACATATTGTAGTGTATTTTAATATAGGTATTGTTTAAACGGTATTACATAATTAGTTTTTAGCATTTGATTGATCAATATTATTGTGGGGCTTGTTTTACTCTTTTTTTAGTGTGCAGTCGGGTATTTTGTTTTTTTAATAATAATTTTTATCAATTACGTGTTTGAGTTAATTAGTATATAGCCGCGTTAAAAAAGCTAGTTACAAGACGGCGGCGTGTCGTTCGTATTTACGAATTACCGTAATTTGCAGAAAAATGAAAAATATTTACCTACCATTTTTTTTGACGTGACAACGTCTTATAAATTGGTTTGCCGGGTGACACTTCAAGAAACTGCGTTACGCTCCGCTCACGTTATGCGCTCACAATGAGAGCGAGTGAGAGGCACGCGTCCCTTCCACTCGGGCATGGTTAGCCCGCCTAAGAGCGAGAGAGACAGACATAAAAAGTGAAAGGCACGCGTCCCTTCCACTTGAGCACAGTTCATCCTTCTTCCTACTATACGAATATTCACATTAAAATTATTTTACCACTCAAAGTCGTTGTCACGTAAAACTTTCACCCGTATACCGACTTTACACGCAACCCATTTTTTTATTGATTAGGACTCAGTTCGAGAGAATAGCCGAGTTACCTCCTAGAAAATGACGCGGCTTTAAAGCAACACTTGTATAAAACGAATTTGTTTAATAATAACTACCGTGAAACTTAATTAACTAAAAATCGCTGGTTAGTCACGTGAATATACACAGTAAGATTTGTATGTAACACTGACTATGTGCCGGCCTCGGAACCGAACCCCACGACAATAGTGAACGTACCGTGGGTTTTAACATCGTTGCAAGCGCCGCCGCCGGAATTAGAAGCAAACGCGCGTGGGTTTCGGCAGAGGGCGCGGTGGGCTCGCAGCGCAAGTAGCAACACCAATGCAAGCGTCGGCGCTAGCCACTAGGCGGCGGGACATCGCCGCGACTGCGCTCACTGCTCATGAGGAAGAGCCCCGTTGTGGCTCGAAACTAGTAGAGCTTTATCAATATATTCACGTGAGTGACCCGCGATATTTAGTTATTAACATGACATTCTTTTATTACATTGATTTGATTTTCTGTTTCCAGCTAGCCACAACTACCAAAGATTCGGTAATTGCGACGCCGAAGAGAAAACCCACTTGGCGTTCCGAGAAACTATTGTACTGAGGACGGACAACAGTCAATATCAGTATTTGACCTACAATGTGAATATTTTACATTGGTTTTTACTTATGTTTTTTAGTAATATAACCGGTTTTCAGAAATGTGTTTGTTATACTCAGGAGTAACACGACTGCCTTGTTGGCCGAGTGATCGCAAGTGCAACGGGTCACGGGTTCGATTCCCATGTCGGGCAAAGTATTATTGGGTTTTTAAAAAATCTCAGTAGTAGCATGGAGTCTGGAATTGTGCCCGGTATATGGCAATAGGCTCACCCCCTATTACATGGGACTTATAACAAAAATGAGTGAAAAGTGGGTGTTGCATGGTGGCATTAAGTGCCGTAATGTGCACCTCTGCCTACCCCTTCGGGGATAAAAGGCGTGATATTATGTTATGTAGCAGTACTAGGCTATACCGTTGAAAAAGAAAATTGAAACATTCTTTAAGTTAACAGCAAAACGGTCTAGTTACAGTACTTAATAAGAATACAATGATTATCAGATAACGCTGTTGGATAATATTGAGTACACCTGCATGACGATGGAACTGGTCAATGCGTCTGCCGTCTCCGAAATGAGGATCAAACATTTCTGCAACCGGGTGAACTTTGGAGCACCATGCTATTTTTATAGAGGTATGTTCGTGAATACATTCAAGGCCTTTAGCCAAGCGCCACTTTAGCGCTTGTCTACAAAGAGAGTAGAAAACTAAACGTATGGGGATGACACTGACAAGTGTCAAAATTTACGTCAATCCCATATAATTTAGTTTTCTATTCTTTTTTTTATGGCATAAGCCGGTAAACGAGCAGACGGATCACCTGATGGTAAGCAATCGGCGTCGCCCATGGACACCTGGAACACCAGAGGCGTTACAAGTGCGTTACCGGCCTTTTGGGGATTACGAGTTTGAGGATCGTTGGGGATTCAGGAATTACACCGCCTGGGAATGGAATGGAAGCGACTTTTGCAACGAAACTGTATAATGTATATAGCATAATGAACTTTATATCAACTGTATTATACACAAATTAAATATGAGCCAAAGAATTGGACACGTGTCTTTCGCAGAATCCTCTCGCATTCTCGAGACTGATGTTTCCCTAAGGAATATGCAAAAAATTAATGCGAAAGCAAATTCAAAATGGGTAAACAAAGGGTATCAGACTATGTTGCAAGCGTAAACATTATCGTGCCAGTATCGAAAAAACCGAACAGAACACAAAAAAAAAATTCAAAAGGTATCAGCGACGTTAAATTGCAAAAAAACTTAGAATTATAACTACATAAATAATTCAAATAATATAAAAAAAAAACAATCAGCCGAACATATTACCTCCTCCTTTTTTTGAAGTCGGTAAATTAAAGCCACGTGGACTGTAATTAATAGAAATAAAACGAATGTTCCAAAGCAAGAAATAAAACAAATAAATAAAAATGAAATTGTAATTAAGGCCATCAGGTGATCCGTCTGCTCGATTACCGGCTTATACCATAAAATATTAATATTATTTTAAAATCGTGGTGGCCCGGAGGTTTAAGACGCCCACTTCTCATGCATGAGGGTGCGGGTTCGAAACCTACCAACGGCAAGTACCAACGTGACTTTTTCCGAGTTATATGTACTTTGAACTTTCTAAGATTATTTAGACACCACTGACAAACGGTGAAGGAAAAACATCGTGAGGAAACCTGGACTTATAATTTCTAATTATAAGTTTGAAATCGCCAACCCGCATTGAGCAAGCGTGGTGATTAATGCTCTAACCTTCTCCGTGTGAGAAGAGGCTTTGCTCAGCAGTGGGCATTTATAGGCTGTTGATGATGATGATGATGAATGTATTTATTTTAAAAAATTATATGAATGGTATAAACATTAATTAGATATCCGAAATAAATTAGTTTTACTAATTCTTTTTTAATTATTTTATTTAAAATAGAAGGTACTCAGTTGACCTGTATGTATGTATGTATGTATGTATGTTTGTACGTTTGTTTATGATTAACTCGCGATTGGCTGAACCGATTAAGATGCGGTTTTCATATAAGTGTTTGCTACACTTAGGAGAAGGTTTTACATATGTATAGGGGGTTTAAAAAAGATTTTTTAAACGAAGTTTATAATAGAGTTATTTTATATTTTGATTTGGATCATCGGACTATAGAACTTAGTTCTTGCTTCATGAAGCAATGAAATTATAATAAACTAGCAGCCCGTCAGATAGGGGTAGACAATTATTTATTTATGGAAATTTGGATTGTTGTAGTGACATAACTGACTGCACGGTTGGTGCGGTGGCTGGGCAATCGGCTGCCGTGCAACGTGTCGCGGGTTCGATTTCCGCACGGAACAACACTTTGTGTGATCCACAAATTGTTGTTTCGGATCTGGGTGTCATTGTGTACGTGAACTTGTATGTTTGTAAACGCACCCACGACACAGGAGAAAATCCTAGTGTGGGACAACGTTTTATTTAGAAAAAAAAATAATAAAAATAACTACAATAGTTGGACATATGCTATCGCGGAGTTTTTTGTAGACATTATGATGTTCTTCAATATTGTTGTACATTATTTTGTTCTATCGCTAATAGTTTCGGCAGCACATTCGACGAAAGACATTTAAAGACTCAATTTTCTACACTTTCGGTTACATTGTTCAAATTTTACCAAGGACCCCTAATTTTTTTCAAAATTAAGTGTAGTCTATTTCAAATTGGAAGAATGTAGAATTCTATTGATGAAAGAATTTTTTAAATCGGCCCAGTACTTTTTGAGCCTATTCATTACAAACATACAAACATAGGTACAAATCTTTCCTCTTTATAATATTAGTATAGATGTATCAATTGTTCACCCACAGGTTCCTCAATGGAGCTCTCGGTGTATATAATGTTTTCCGACAAATGCCTATTCGAGTTGTTCGTATGGGGCTTCAATAAGAACATGACGCTACTGGACATCCAGGAATGGAAATGGGAAGAAGGCACATACTACGACGACTTCACGATGCAGCGGGTCGAGTACAGAGGTCCCTCATATATGACGGACTATGGTTACGAGCCCCTGGATAGTAGTATATGGGTGCCGGAATACGATATTTGGACGACCACTTTATTAGATAACAGTACTACGCCTACACCGCCCCCCGTTAAAGGTGAGAAAATCTACACATATACCGTAAATTGATGTGCGTTACCCAGGCCAGATGTTGTCGAAAATGGTCATTTGAATCTTATAGATAATTAGTTTCCGTTTTCGGTTGCGGCTTCTGTAATTGTTGCGCACATTTTTAAATTTGTTGCAATTATAGTTTTTTAATTATTTCGCAATAACATTTCCTGCTGGGGTAACGTTACCCCAGCCAGACCTTTTTCTTTTTAAATGATTACTATCTATAAAATAAGTTGTCTAGATGAAGTAAACGTTGTACCTTGTTTTGTATTTGTTCTTTCATCGGTTGCGAAGTTATTCGAGATTTAGCTGGGGTAACGTTTTTGATTTTGCTAGATCTTTGAAATGGTTAAGCGGATTCTTATCATATTTAATGATTCGTTTCAGTATTTTGTATACCATGCTAAACAGGTGTACTTATAACAACTCAATTGTGTCAAAAAATGAAATATCGAAATAGTTTTTAGGGAACAGAGAGTATAGTTCCCTAAGATCGGAAAAGGAGGATCCTCCGACCGGGCGAGGTGTTCGTGCCTGGCGGGCTTACTGCCCAACAGTTGTTCGTTTTCTATCCGAGTTAATTCGCATATAAACTTTACTTGTGCGATGTAGGATTTTGATTTTGACGTCGTCCGTTGATTTGTTTTTCATCGATATTTAACAAATGACATGTGTCGCCTCAAGTTTTATAAAGTTTCGTGAGACGTATTAAATTAATAATTATGTTTCGGCTCACTCACGTTACGAAGCTATTCGGTAAGTTTCAGTTCTAAAGATCGAAGTACACTCGATCGCGGTCCGCCATGTCATTGATTGTGAGAATAATATCGACCAATGACTGGCGAGAATGCGATCGAGCTCACTTCGAGAGTTCAAATTGACATATACCGAATATCCTACACACAGCCTACCTGAGTGCTTACTCTTGAAACCAATCTCAATGTCAATGCAATTTCAATCCAATAAAATCTCAATAATTATTCAATGTAAAAAATATACAGCCCCTATCGTAGCTATTAAAATAGTATTCAGGGTACGGAATATAAAGCCAAACTCAATACCGTTTAGTTCATTCAATATCCACGCAATACGGGTACAATGGGCGCTAGTGTTGCAACTCAAGAGTACGAAATTTCACAATGCCAATGTCTATCGATCGAAATTGGATTCAAGAGTAAGCCCCCTGATGTAGGTACCAAGGAATCACTTTGTGTAAATAAAGCAATCCGCACATCAGGCATCCATTTGTAACTCGGTAATAGGGATGATGATAGAGTATGAAAATTAAAAATCTATTTAGTCCGTCAGTTAGGTAATGAAAAAATATTAGACACGTATTTTTTTTTATTTTGTCGTATATACAATTATACAGGTTACAATACTTAGATAAAACGAATCAAAGTTTCGGAGTGGGCAGTAGTTACGTCATTATAGATTAGAGTATAAATCGTACTCAAAAGTGACGTCATGCGATATTTCAAATCAATATCTATATCTTCGAAAATATTCGTTTCCGTAAGAAATAAAAAATAAGTATCTAATGTTTTTAAATAATCTACCAGACGGACATTAAAATAAAAATTGGGTATCTACCCTATTGTAGCGTGACATTTGAAACGCACAAACATTTAACGCCCCCTTATACCTATTTACACCGGGCCTGGCCTGGCCGGACGGCGAGCACGGGTGACTCGCCGCTCGACCAGAAACAGACCCGAGCGTACGGCGCGTCGCGTTCTGCGCGCGCCTCATTCAGCCATCAGACCACCACGGATGGGGCCCAACGGGGTTGATGCCGATACGTAGCCGCGGAAGACTTAACGGGTCCCCGAGGCTCCAGCTCGAAGTGCAGGAATAGGAACGGTGTGGTTTTTAGTCAGAAAGAGTCTGACACTTCCTTTCATCTCACCCGGGCGGAAGAAGTGATAGGATGACTTTCTCATCTAAAAAAAATCCCTATTTACACGTGTACACGCGTACGGAGACAACATTTGTAGCAGACCACTATGTGGCGTTTCCAGCGATACACGAATTTAAGATCAAACACGTTCAATTTTTTTGTTTGGCCAAATCAAGAAATCGTCGTCATCAGACGATGATTGCGACATCTTCAAAGCACGTCTATATAAATAAAAATTAATTTCCGTTCTTTACGGCTAAACCGATTCGACTAATTTTGGTCTTGAAATGTTCGTGGAAGTTCAGGTAAGGCTTAAAAGGTGAGAAAAAAAATTTTAGGCAGTACGAAGTTTGTCTGGACAGCTAGTATACAATACATATGTAGTAGGTAACCTGAATTGCGCAATAATAATGGCGACGTAAATGTTCGATACGTGTAGCGTGTGGCATGTTGCATTGGTGTGCGGCCTGCTTAAGACCACCCATTGTATTGGTACCTACTCACTGTAAATAGAATGTTTCCGCTATATATATTATCCTAAAAAATACATTATTGAAAATATTACAGTGTCACGACCAACACCAACGCGACCCACTACAACGGTGATGAAAACGAAACCAACACCGAAACGAAAAACTAAACCGCGTCCTACAACAAGACGAAGAACCCAGAGACCGCGGAGACCGACAACCCGTAGAACAACCATAGAACCTTCCAAATCTTACCCTAGTAATGAAACGACTACAATAGCCAGTACAGCAACAGGAAATACTTCTACATCTTACCCTAGTAATGAAACGACTACAATAGCCAGTACAGCAACAGGAAATACTTCTACATCTTACCCTAGTAATGAAACCACAACAGTAGCCAGTACAACAACAGAAGAGACTATTGATTCTGCCATGAGTAATGAAACGACAACAGTAGCCAGTACAACAACAGAAGAGACTATTGATTCTGCCATGAGTAATGAAACGACAACAGTAGCCATTACATCAACAACGGTCGGTCAACCATGAAACGACAACAAAAGGCTCGTAGTCAATTCTATAAAGCAGCCCTCGATCTCATTTTGGGAACCAGTGACTGGATAAAACATTGCTTGAATCAAAGAAATAGGTACCATATTTTAGCTTGCCAGATCATCATCATCATTATCATCATCATTATCATCATCATCATCATCATCATCATCATCATCATCATCAACAACAGCCGAAAGACGTCTACTGCTGTGCAAAGGCCTCCCCTTTGGTCCTCCGTGTCGAATTACAACTCGCCACTTGCATCCACTGGCTCCCCGCAGCTCTGGCGATGTCGTCGGTCCATGTAGCGGGAGGCCTGCCCACGCTTCATCTTCCGGTCCGTGGTCTCCACTCAAGGACTTTCCTGGCCCATCTGCCGTCAGATGCTTACCAGATGGCAAGTGTAAACTTTTCGTTTTTCGTCCAATAAGGAATTAGCAAGTGTCACACTATTGTGTGATCAACATTTAACAAATGTAGTGATTCATACAGAGACATTCGATTTACGAGGGTCAAACAGAAAGTTCTTAGAAAATAAAATACTGAGTAAACTTGCAAGTTGTTATTTTTATTATATCTTTTCAAAATAGCGTCCATTCACAATAATACGCTGCAAGCCTGCAACCTATAGAACCATTGAGAAAAGCACTTTGCCCCCTCGGCTTCAGAGGTTTCTTTGACGGCCCTTTGAAGCAACCACTGCTTGCATAAAACGTTTTCCACGAAGTTTTTCTTTCATTATATATACGCCGGGTGACCCAGTAATTTTACATCTGAGCCAGGCAGCAAAAGATAGCATCTTTTTTCCACCACTTTGACCTCTCTTCACTTTACGTTATTTTTACACCTTTTGGTTTCCGAATCGTATCCAGGTTTCGTTGAACACAGCATTTGTTTCGAGTCACCTCCGTTAAATTTTTTAATCATATTTCGGGACCAATTATAACGGCCAGTGCGTATAATTTTTGGGACTCGGTCAAAATATTAAGTATTCCGCGGGCACAAAGCTTTTTGGCAGTCTCTCTCTTTGGTCAATTGCCATCGTACGCCGTACAACAGTGACATATCTTCAGTAGTCGCTGTAGAAGGTCGCCCTTTATGCAAATCATCGGCGAGATTAGTGCGACCACATTTAAATTCATCAAACCAGTTGTAAACTGTAGCACGAGATGGGGCTTCATCACCGCTTGAATGCACCGATATGAGACACAATATATAGATTGTGTGGATCCACGTATAGGCACACGACGGGTTAAAGGTCAATCGAACCCTCCCCAGGGTCTCCCCAATCCCTGAATCCCCCACAATCTTTACAGACTTCAAGGAAAACTGACCGATAGGTCACACTTTCAAGGTGGTCCGCCGTGGTCCCATTGTCACCAGGTCAAGATCTGATGATAGGATCCTAGGGAAACCGAGGAGAAATTTGAAAGTTATAGGGATAATCAATGCGTTTGTTAATATTTTCAATAGGTATTTTAAACCAGTACAATATGATATGTCTTAACTGGAGTCGATCTAATGATGGAGCCGAAAGACGGTTGAGGGCACTCCTCAACGGTTTATAGTAACTACCTTATCTTTGGGCCTGATTAATTTGATGTTGATAAGAACTTTACACATAGATCGAGTGAGACTGTCATGAAGGGTCTGATGATGAAGTGTATTTGTAAAGGGAACTCTTCAACGGCTTACAGTAAGTACCTTGTGTTTCGACTTGTATAATTAGCATTGATTAGATTTTGCACCTATGTGGATTATAAGTGGCAAAACGGGTCTATGTTGACCGTTGTTCAAAATCTACAAAGCTTTGGCCAGTAGTTTCGAATGTTACATTCGAGACCACTGGGCCAGACCACCGTCCTATGGGACGAAATCTAGAATTACTACCTAAAATAGGTATATATATATATATATATACATCATGCCTTTTATACCCGAAGGGTGACCATTACACCGCTGTACAATGTAACACCCACTTTTCACTATTTATGTTATGAGTCCCATGTAATAGGGGGTGACCCTATTGCCATATACCGGTTATTTGCTTACAAGCTTCGATATAAAAATCTAGACCTTTGCATTTAAACAAATATGGCATGGTACCGGTTTCCATACAACTGGAGTTGAATATCAAGTGATGCCAATGATTAAAGAAATAAGAGGATATGAACTGTGTACGTACTTGTGTGCCAAAATGGAAACAAACATGGCTTAGACTCTGCCCTCTGCCCATTAAATAGTGTAGTGACAAAAGTCGTTTGTGAGCTACATGAACCACAATTGATTTTTGGTATCTTTTTCTGAAGTACGTGGTTTTATATAGAAAACAGACATTGAACCGAGTAGTTAGTAAGTATACTTTCAAGATAAAAAAACATTTTCTAAGATAATCTAAATATAGTTTGATGAATATGTTACTTAATATAATATATGTTACTGAAACATTGCAATGCATTTATCAAATATTTTAGTTGAATTTAGTCATGAATAATTAATTACTTTAGAGAATGGTGTTGGTATTGCATGTGCGAGTATTCTGCGTGTAAATTATAAACTCTAAGCCCGTGCCATAGTTGTTGTTTCAATAAAATACGTCCGCCACTTTTTCAACGTCCTAGACTTCAAATGACAAAAAATAATTATAAATAAAATATTTTTGACGCTTGCAAGCGAATTTCATTTATGTACTGTTATCTGACACCTGTCATTTTATATTTGACAACAAAACACGTCATTTCTGTGGATTTGTTCAGTAGTTAGGGTTATCAATTAATTATGATTTCCACTAAAACAGGCAGTTTAGTTTGCGAATTGCGATAACCAGTTCTCAAGCGTTAGTTGTTTTTGATTAAAAAATAATTAAACTGTAAATAGCATATATTATAAAAATATTAAACATCATCATACCTTTTATCCCCGATGAAGTAGGCAGAGGTGGACTTTAAGGCATTTAATGCCACTGTACAAGGTAACATTTACTATATAGTTTACTATATAGTTAATAGTTATAACAAAATATCGAATTTATATAGGAGTATAAGAACTATCTTACGCTACTTTATATAAGCTGAAGAGTTTGTTTGTTTGTTTGAACGCGCTTATCTCCGGAACAACCAGTCGGATTTCAATATTTTTTGATGTGTTAGATAGTCCATTTATCGAGGACGGTAATAGGCTACACAACATCACGCTACGATCAATAGGAGCCAAGCAGAGCAGGTGCAGCCACGCGGAAGTATAACAAAATATCGAATTAAATTAAACATAATATTATTGTATCTAACACTCTCTAATTGAGATTAAGAGTACGCCCAAGTTGAAGTTGGTGTTAAAACTGTAATGGCCAACTTTTTTATTGTAGTTATTAAAATAAGTAGGTAATAAAAATGTGCTCTAATAAAATGTATACTTTGTTTTATTTGTTATTTCAAAAGTCCTTTTAGGTTAATTGGTAACGGTTGTAATTCCCGGTGAGTCCCAAATTTTGGTACTTATATTAAATGACTCGTAAAGTAAGTGACTTGCCCAGACACCTTTAAAAACCGCTGTCCTTGACACAACGTGTAGTGGGTTCGATCACATAATCAGTTTTTCCGTCTCGCACTGTGTGTGAATATGTGATCCGTGTCTGGTGTCATGTCAACATGTATGTGTGAACTTGTAAGTTTGTAAATGCGCCCAGAGCCGCCCAAAGGGCTTAGAGTTTGGTTTTGGTTGGTTCATTGGAGCCGGCCAGTCAGAGCACCGAACGCGAAAAAAATTTCGTGCTAAGCTCTCTGATAGGTTGGTTGGTAGACACATCCTATTGTACCTATTTTGAATACAAATTTACTGAATATAATTTATAAATGTTGATGGAAAGCATCGCAGGCGGGGACCACCTTGACCGCCACCAACGAAAATTCTGCTAAATGGTGCACAACCGAAATGACTATAAATAAGCCTCTGTTGGTCCCCGCCTGCGATGCATTCCATCAACATTTATAAATTATATTCAGTAAATTTGTATTCAAAATAAGTTTCTGTTTATTTAACTATCGATTACGAACACATATTGTAGTGTATTTTAATATAGGTATTGTTTAAACGGTATTACATAATTAGTTTTTAGCATTTGATTGATCAATATTATTGTGGGGCTTGTTTTACTCTTTTTTTAGTTTATATTGGTAAATATATATTTTTTTATTTTGTGAGTAAAATTGTAAATAGTAGAGAATTTTAAATAAATATACGTGAATAATAATAAACTTAAAAGAGTAAAGAAAAGAATAAAAAACAATAAACCTTTTTGTAAATAATGTGTTTTTGAAATCATCAAGTTATGAATTCAGTTTTGAGAATTTTATAAATTATTTAGTATGTTTGGGTAGCTAATAAACCAAGGAAGGTTTTCTAATAGTTTGTATGCTTAGTGTAATATCAATTTTTTAAGCTAAATGCAGTTTTCTATTGACCAAATTAGTGACTCAAAACAAAATTTAATACTAATTTACTTGCTATTAGTAAATGTTTATTGATGTATTGACAACAAATTAAAACAAAAATCACTTAAATCAAATGATTAGTTTTTAATTTATTGATGTTTATGTAGTTCGATCGGGATTTTTTCACCAAAACCGAAAATGTTGAATATCTCAGAAACTAGCAACTTTCGTACTATGATTTTGACTTTGATACCGATCCTTTCAGCTACTTTGACGTCATAGACTAACAAATATACATACAAATAAATTAACACAAAAACCCACAAACTTTCGCCCAGAGCCGCCCAAAGGGCTTAGAGTTTGGTTTTGGTTGGTTCATTGGAGCCGGCCAGTCAGAGCACCGAACGCGAAAAAAATTTCGTGCTAAGCTCTCTGATAGGTTGGTTGGTAGACACATCCTATTGTGGGTAAACGTTATAAAGATAAAAAAAGATTATGGTAAACTGTACAGGGGAAAAATAAAATTGTAGTTGGCAACACTGAATTACAGGATGTCAACAATCGAGGTATTTTGCTCCGATTCAATTTCAATTTAGCGGCTAAACTTTATCACACGCATTTGATTGAACTATTACAGTGCTTCTTATCTCTTCGTCATACATATCAAATAATTCTGATTGGTGAACTCTTGTCGAGCGCGCGGCTTTTATTCTGTTTTAAACGTAGGTAAGTACAATGAGAATTTAATTGAAGAATTACCGAACCTACAACTCCTTATTTATTTAATTTAAAATATAATTACTTACAAACTAATTACTACTCTAGGCATTGTTCGTTATCACAGTTCAATTATTTTACTCTGGTCCAATGTGGAAACTTGTTTCATATTTTTATGTTATTAATCGTAAGTAAATACTTTAAAAAAATTATTATTTATAGTTTTTGTAGTCACCTAGGCGTTTCAAAGGTGGCCACGTCATACTGGCTAGTCTAGAATGTTATTTGTCGCTATAATATTAGTTCACCTCAAATGTATGAATCAAAAATTCTTCACTTCACTTCATATTATTATTATAAATGCAAAAGTTTGTGAGGATGTATGTGTGTGTTTGTTACTCACTCTTTATTTCATGGCAAAACGGATGAAGGGATTGGGATGAAATTTGGACCAGGGTGCTTACTTAATAATTATTCCATGTCTCAATAATTATCAATAATCTCAATAATTATTCAATGTCAAAACTATACAACCCCTACCATAGCTGTTAAAATAGCATTCAGAGTACGGATTATAATGCCAAACGGAACACCATTTAGTTCATTCAATATCCAAATAATATATGCGCACGCAATAGGCACTAGTGTTGCAACTCAAGAGGACATTTCACAATACCAATGTCAATCGATCAGAATTGAATTCAAGAGTAAACCCCTAGGTGTATTTTATGGTTTGGAATAACACATAGGCTACTTTTTATCCCACGGGGATGTAGTTGAAGCTACTGTCAGAAGCTATCATTTATGCACAATATGTATAATAGATGATAAGTAAGAGCTCATGAATATGCTAATCATTACAAGGCATCACGCCTTTCTTCCCCGAAGGGGTAGGCAGAGGTGCATTATGGCACTTAATGCCACTGTACAATGTAACACACACTTTTTACTATTTATGTTATAAGTCCCATGTATTAGTGGGTGATACTACTGCCATATACTGGGCACTATTTCATACTTTATGCTACTACTAATGGGATTTTTAAAAAACCCAGTAATACTTTTGCCCAACCCGGGTATTGCACTAGGGACCCCTTGCCCGACAGTCGCACTTGCGACCATTCGGTCAATGAGGCAGTCAAGGTGTGGTGTAAGAGGTAGTGGATATGCTAATTGTTTTGGACGAAACCATAACCGATCATGCCAGGAGCCTGCAGCATATTACAATTTTGTATTTGTATGAGTCCTGAACTAATGAAGTCGGAGATGTATTCGGATAATAATTACATTTACAGGAATTACAAGCAATGTATTTTTCATCTCTTTCATTAGCAACAGATACAGTAAGAAAACAATAAATAAAGTAAATAATAACTATAGTGTATATTTGACAAATAAGCGCACAAATACAAATATTATAAAAAATAAAAATACAGATACTTTTTTTTTTTTAATGGTGGAAAATCATCGAATGACTGCTCCCGCCTGGGTGAGGCGGAAGGGAGTGTCAGACTCTTACTGACTAAAAACCACCCCGTTCCTTCTCCTGCACGTCGAGCCGGAGCCCCGGTTACCCGTTAGGTTCTCCGCGACAAAAATACAGATACTTACGTATATAGTACAAAATAATAATAATAATATCTAGACTTGCTCACGAGGTTGTCAACATGTAGAGTGTGGAGCTATCATTGTGCCGATAGTTGTGTCGGCCAATGGGTTAATCCCTAAAAGCCTCGACATTCATCTCAGGAGGCTGGCGTTAGGTGGAAGGATCAAGGGCCTGATACAGAAGGCAGTTCTCCTATAAACGGGACGTATCGTTAGGAGGTTTCTGTTTCTGGAGCTCTAACCACCGGTAGCTTGGACCATGCTCCTGCTACTGGTCAGCTCCTATTTTTTATATTGTTAAATATATATATTATTTTTTTTAAGTAAAATTGTAAATAGTAGAGAATTTTAAATAAATATACGTAAATAATAAACTTAAAAGAGTAAAGAAAAGAATAAAAAGCAATAAACCTTTTTGTAAATAATGTGTTTTTGAAATCATCAAGTTATGAATTCAGTTTTGAGAATTTTATAAATTATTTAGTATGTTTGGGTAGCTAATAAACCAAGGAAGGTTTTCTAATAGTTTGTATGCTTAGTGTAATATCAATTTTTTAAGGTAAATGCAGTTTTCTATTGACCAAATTAGTGACTCAAAACAAAATTTAATACTAATTTACTTGCTATTAGTAAATGTTTATTGATGTATTGACAACAAATTATAACAAAAATCACTTAAATCAAATGATTAGTTTTTAATTTATTGATGTTTATGTAGTTCGATCGGGATTTTTTCACCAAAACCGAAAATGTTGAATATCTCAGAAACTAGCAACTTTCGTACTATGATTTTGACTTTGATACCGATCCTTTCAGCCACTTTGACGTCATAGACTAACAAATATACACACAAACAAACTAACACAAAAACCCACAAACTTTCGCATTATTAACATATTTTTTATTGTATAAGCCTGTAAACGAGCAGACGGATCACCTGATAGTAAGCAATCGCCTATGGACACATGGAACACTAGCAGCATTACAAGTACGTTACCGGCCTTTTGGGAATAAGGAATTTGAGGATTGTTGGGCATTCAGGGATTGGGGAGATTAGGGAGGTAATTGGGCCTCCCGTAACCACGGCCTTGTTTCACGTCGGTTTCCTGCTCGGCCGTGGTATCACTCCGGTCGAGCCACCATTCGTGCCGAAGCATGATTCTCTCACACTAAAAGATTATAGTCAGATACAAAAGTTATTTACTAAAGTGTTTGTAGAACAAATGTTTATCTATGCCACTGGTGTTGTTTTACAAGGTATAACAAGATCTGGGAGGAGTGTTCTGTTTGAACATTCTAGTGTCTTGTCATTACATAAAGTACTTCACATGTAGTAGGTATCTCTATACAATGGTGTATTACGCTTTTAACCAAATTAAATTTTATACAGGGTGGAATTTTTTAATGCCACCTGAAGGGGAAGTGCGTTTAATACTTTAGATAGAAAATTTTACTCAAAGAAAACATTATTTTATTTTTGAAAACGGTTTTCAAAGATTTTTAAAAACTCGCTTGTCGCATACGGTAATCGAACCAACTAAAATCTGTAAAAGTTGCATCCTGTACTTTTATAGTACCGATCGTTAGGGTCAATAAAGATGAAATTTCTTTAAAAAACAAAAAGTCAATACTAAAAAACAAAAAATAACTATTATTAGTACTGATAGGTTACCCACCTACTGATAGGTAAGAAGTCGGTGCCATAAGTTCCATACAAAATTATTTATTAAAACCTTAATAGGTATTTACCTATAATTCACAATTTTGTGGTCATTAAGTTATATCATTATGATATGAGCTTATGGCACCGACTTCTAACCTATCAGTGGGTGGGTAACCTATCAGTACTAATAATAGTTATTTTTTGCTTTTTAGTATTGACTTTTTGTTTGTTATTAGTTTTTGGTTTTTGAAGTCGGTTTTTTAAACGCAGTTTTTATTTTATTATTTTACCATTTTCAGTGTAAAGCTACATATACCCGTTTTGTTACTTATAATATACATAGGTGCAAAGTCCTCATCAATACAAATTAATCAAGCCCAAACTCAAGGTAGTTACTGTATACCGTTGAGGAGTTCCCTTAACAATTACACTTCTTCATCAGACCCTTAATGACAGCCCCACTCTATCTAGGTGTAAAGTCCTCATCAATACAAATTAATTAAGCCCAAACACAAGGTAGTTAATATAAACCACTGAGGAGTTCCCTCGACTGTCTGTCGGCTCCATCATCAGGTCGACTCCAGACCCTTATTAAATTGTAGTGTTTAAAATTCGTAATTGAAAAACATAATAGACGCATTACTCCCCCATAGAATTTTCGAAAGTTCCCCTCGGTTTCCCTAGGATCCCATCATCAGATCCTGACTTCATGGAAATGGGACCATCTCGGGAGTATACCCTTTCAAACGAAACAAAAATTTTCGAAATCGGTCCACAAACGGCGGAGTACTGCGCGAACAAACAAAAAAAAAAAAAACAATCAGCCGAACATAGTACCTCCTCCTTTTTTTGAAGTCGGTAAAAACGTCATAAATTGATTTTTTATGGCATAAGCCGGTAAACCAGCAGACGGATCACCAGCAATCGGCGTCGCCCATGGACACCTGGAACACCAGAGGCGTTACAAGTGCGTTACCGGCTTTTCGGGGATTAGGAGTTTGAGGATCGTTAGGGATTCAGGGATTGGGGGGATACACTTGGGACCAAACAAGCGTTGTTTTTTTTTAATTTGTTGATAAATATATATTCTGATAGTATTCTATTAACTCGTCGAGTACCGGTTTTATAGACACAATTAAAGAACAATAGGTCGCGGTCACCGGTGACCGCTTGGTATTTGACAGTTTAATTGGAAACGTATGTCGTATAAAAGATAAGTTAGTTACCTCTAAATTGTAAGCATTGTGTTGTAAAAGAAATACTTTTTGAAAAAGTTATCTTCAAAAAGTAATCGTCTTTTTTTGAAGTCGGTAGAAATATTGACAGCCTTGCCTTATAAGTCAACAGTCGGGGCTCTATGGCTTTAAGTTATGCCGAACATCAGCATCAGGGTGCTTACTTTTGAAACCAATCTCAATGTCAATGCAATTTCAATCCAATAAAATCTCAATAATTATGGAATGTCAACACTATACAACCACAATCGTAGCTGTTAAAATAGGATTCAGAGTACGGAATATAAAGTCAAACTCAATACCATTTAGTTCATTCAGTAGCCACGCAATACAGATGCAATGGGCGCTAGTGTTGCGACTCCTCGCAACCCAGCCATCGCGAAGGACACACCGGGCGTCGGGGATCGCGAGACGATCTCCGGCCACCGTAAGCGCGGACCTGCGGACGGCGAGCATGGGTGGCTCCCCGTCCGACCAGAAACAGACCCGAGCGTACGGCGCGTCGCGTTTCGCGCGCGCCTCAAAGAGCCATCAGACCACCACAGATGGGGCCCAATAGGGCCGATGCCGATTCGGAGTCGCGGAGAACCTAACAGGTAACCGGGGCTCCGGCTCGACGTGCAGGAGAAGGAACGGGGTGGTTTTTAGTCTGTAAGAGTCCGACACTCCCTTCCGCCTCACCCAGGCGGGAGCAGTCATTCGATGATTTTCCCCCCTTAAAAAAAAAGCCCCCTGGCCTTGGGTTCGCCTCTCGGACAAGGGATTGCAGTTAGGTTCAATTTAGAGGATACTACTACCGAACTACCGAAGGAATTTACTGTAGGAGGGTCCTACAATACCTTCGGGGATTAACAGATTTAATGATATTATTATTCAGTAAATAAATATTTAGTTTCAGCGTAACGCGCGATGTCAGACGACTACAGTACATTGACCCACGTGTCTCCCGTGCTGACTAATGAGAGGCTCAGCGCGGCGCTCTCCGATTGGTTCAAACGACCATTCACGTTCACACATTGGGAGGTGAGATTTTTTGCATATTTTTTACACGTTGGTTGCAAGGTGCAAACTCGCAACTTCTATGGTGTTGCTAATGGCCATGGCGGTACGTTTGCGGCCCTTTATATATATAAAAAAATGGGCTTATAGCCAAATGACGTAGTATATCGACCTTATAAGTTATCATTAACAGTAGTTTATTGTTTACGTTATAATGTATGTACTATAAAATATGTGCGTACATAAAAATAATCCGCTTATCTTGTTCACTGGATGGAGTCAATGACTTATGAATTGTATATGTATGACTCATCTTATTCATGACCGAGTTATCCGCTCGCGGCTTCACCTGTGTGCTATTTACATGAATTAGGTTCTAATTTTGTAGAAATATTGCAATGAAATGTGGCCTTTTTGTTGATTTTTATAGTGCAGTCAACGAGCAGACGGATCTCCTGATGGTAAGCAATCGGCGCGGACGCCGCCTATGGGCACCCAAGCCTTTTGAGGGTTTAAGGTTTACGCACAGCTCTGGCACGATTTCAACCCAGCAATTCACTTGTCATTTAAATATCAACGTTAAATCGTATGTCGTATGACATATTTCATAACGTCTATATCAAAAAACTGAAAGCGCACCGCCCGCGCGGCGACGACGCGACGTCGCTCTTACGACCTTTCGGTATTGTTTCCGAAGCAAGAAACGCTGTGTCAGAGCTGTGCTTGTTAGGTGTGCGATGACTTTCAGACGAGGGGAAAAGACTGGACGGTACCAGTTTTCTGTGAGGCCGTGGTATCACTCCGGTGGAGCCACCTCATTCGTTGACAAGCTGGGATATCGCTACGATAAAAAGGAGCATGTATTGTATACTGACTCCCTGCAAAGAAAGCTTTATAATGATATAAAACAAGTAAAATCAACCCAGACGTAGTGAATAGCAAGCTAGAATTCCGATCAACGCATGTCAGATTTGACAGACTGCGTAACGCCCGAATACTGACACCCTTTAAGTATTACTCAATACTATATACTCAAATAGTACTCAATTTTTGGGATTAGGAATTTGAGGATTGTTGGGGATTCAGGAATTGGGAAAGGGGAGGAGGGGTAATTGGGCCTCCGGTAACCGTATTTCCAAAACGTTGTTGTTTCACGTCAGTCTTCTGCTTGGCCGTGGTATCACTCCGGTCGAGGACCCACACTTAAATTGAGTGACGTTTGATTATTTCAGCATTACCATTTCAGTAATATACGACATCTGATAACTGAAAGAGGTGGAAAGTGGTCGTTATGTAGTACGCTTCAGAGGCGTGTTTTAAATAAATAATTATCATTCAGGCGGCATCTAGAAGTATACAGATTCTTTGTGCTTACAAAATTATTTTGGAAAACGCCGAACTTTTTGCGTTTTCCGTAAAAAATTTAAAAAGTATTTTATCTATTTTTTTATCAATAACCTAATGCATTAATCATGTTTCTAAAGAGGTGATCTTAATAATTCCATATCTGTTGTTGATAACGAGTTTCCGTAGTGCTGAATGTGGCACTGAAATACCTATATCTTACTAATATTATAAGCTAGCTGAAACCGCAACTTCGTCTGCGATTTTCTAAAATAGGTAAAAGTAGCCTATGTTGCTCCTTAGTACATTAGTTACCTGTCAATAAAAATTCCGTTAAAATCGGTCCAGTCATTTCATAGATTAGCTAGTATAAACAAACAGGCAGCTAAATTGCAAAAAGTGTTGTTTTGGTGACGTTTTGGTGATGTTTTTGATGATGGTGATGCATGCTCGTCGGTTATATATATATTATATTATACGAGCATGCAAGAAAAGATTGATGACTGTTGATGAAGCGAAAGAGGTATGTAGGAATCGTAGTAATTAGCGTTCCCTAGTCTCTGCCTACCCCCATGAGAGACAGGCGTGAAGTTATGTAAGTAAAAACATATATTAAAAGAACACATTTAGAATTACAGATCGCTCAGATTTTATAGTAATGAAATAAAAGTAAGTCAGTGTTAAACTGTTAATGTAGGACGTAGGTACTTCAGTAAAGGTACCTTATCGGGACTATAAGTGATGTTTTGTGTGAAAAAGCGTTGATCGAATGATACGCGTTTGATAGTGCGGTCGGCTATCAAATGAGTTAAGTAGTTATTTATTGGGTTAAGCGGTTAATGTTTATTTCCTAACATGCGTCGACATGATGACATATTAAACTTTTTTTGGTATATGTAGATAAGTTATTTTTAAGTGTGGGAGAGCAATGCTTCGGAATCAATGGGCCGGATCGACAGGAGTGATACCACGGCCTCAAAGATAACCGACCTGAAACAACGCTTGCGTTGTGTTTCGTCGTTTGAGTAAGGTCACCGGAAGGCCAATTACCCCTCCCCCTTACGCAATCTCTCCAATCCCTGAATCCCCAACAATCCTCAAATTCCTAATACCTAAAAGACTGTTAACCTCTCGCGTGTTTCTCGTATACACGGGTGTACGAGAGATTTGAGTGCCCATCGCGCAATTGTACACACGGGTGTACGAGAAACGCGCACCGATTGGATATATTTTCTGTGGTGTATATTTTCAAGTTTGCAACCCGTTCTTTATTTGATTGAACCACAGATATAGATAGACCTATGTCTGTGGATTGATCAGAATAGTTAATTCGCTTTTCTATTAAAATATTTACCCGTGTGTACGAGAACCTTGTATTATTTAATCCAGACTTCTAAATTCACGTCTGCAAAAATCAAAGCAATCGGTTCAGTAGTTACGGCGTGAAAGTGGAACAAACAAACTCACTTTCCGATTTATAATATTAGTAAGGATTTAATACCCAATGCCCAATGTTGAAAATGCAACACGGACATAAGAAGTATAAGATAGACTAATAATCATCATTGTTAACTGTGTGCTATCTTTAACCCAACACTTAAATGCCAAACTGTCCATTTCCAGTACGTCAGTGACACCGGAAAAGGTGACTCCTATCTCAGCGAGCTGATGCGCATCAGGATACATGGCACTGATGAGAATAACGTCGCAAACCATGTCCAAGTTATCCTCAAATCTATCCCTAAAAGCATCGCAAGGAGATTGACTTTCAGGAGCCACGAGTTCTTCCAAAACGAGATCGTGTTCTACGAGAAAGTCCTACCAGCTTTACTGGACTTCCAATCCACGAAAAATGTAAAAGACCCTTTCGATAAATACACCAAAATGTTCTTTTCTTTCTGCGATGGGACCAACGACGTTCTTTGCTTAGAGGACGCAAGCTTATATCAGTTTGGGAGCGCAGTGAGGCAAGAAGGGATCGACTTAAAACATTGCAAGTTGACTTTCAAAATACTAGCGCAGTTCCACGCCCTCTCCTTCGCTATGAAAGACCAGAAGCCAGAAGAATTTGGGAAGTTAAAGACTCACCTTACAGAAGTCTATTACCATGATCGTTTATGGGATTGGTACACGAGATTTTGGAAGAGGATTTCAGGTATAGCCATCGACGCGGTAGAAAAGGAATACCCTGACTCCATTTACGTGGAGAAGGTTAAGGAGTTTGCGGTACCAGAAAGGTACCAAAATATGATAGATGCGGCGACAAAAACTGATGAAACTGGAGTTATATCTCACGGGGACTCGTGGACGAACAACTTCCTTTATAAGTATGTGGGTGGAAGTCCTGTGGATGCGAAAATTATTGACTTCCAATTGGCTCGATGTGCTACACCTGTTCTCGATCTTTCTTTCATGGTATACGCTTGCACGAGTCAAGATTTGAGGGAGAAGCATTATGATGAGTTACTAAAGTATTACTATGAGATCCTGTCCACTCAAGTAAGGGATCTGGGTAGTGACCCAGATAAGGTATATCCTTGGGATCTCTTTATAAGTGAGATCAAAAAGTATTCGTACTTTGGATTGGCTTTCAGTTTTGAGTCGACACCTTCTATAGTTTTGGCGCCTGAAGATGCAATTAATATGGAGATGACGGTAATGAACTTTTTTATTTATACATAACAATCCTAATAATTTTATCCCTGAAGGGGTAGGCAGAGTTGCATATTATGGCACTTAATACACCCACTTTTTACCATTTATGTTATGACTCCTATTCCTATGTAATGGGGGTTATGGGGGGTTAGCCTATTGTCATATACCGGGCATAATTCCAAACTCCGTCCTACTACTGTGAATTTTCAAAAAACCCAGTAGTACTTTGCCTGACTCGGGAATCGAACCGGGTAAGGGACCCGGCACGACAGTCGCATTTGCGGCCACTCGGCTAACAACGTTTATTTATACGTAACTTATTATTATCTATTATTTAATTGTGTTATTATTTTTTTTGCCAGTGATGGTATTTGTACTATGTAGTGGATATTAGATTAAGTAAAATTCCAAACAAATTAAAAGGAGGTTACATTTCCTACCTACCAAAAGATTTGAAAATCTAATAATACCATTAGGGGGGGGGGGGAGAGCCATGCTTCGGCACGAATGGGCCGGCTCGACCGGATTGATACCACGGCCTCACAGAAAACCGAAGTGAAACAACGCTTGCGTTGTGTTTCGTCGTGTGAGTGAGCCTACCGGAGGCCTCATTACCCTCCTCCCCAATCCTCGAATTCGCAACAATTCTCAAATTCCTATCCCCAAAAGGCCAGTAACGCACCCTCTGGTTTTCCGGGTGTCCAAGAGCGACGCCTATTGCTTACCACCAGGTGATCAGTCTGCTCCTGTTACCGGCTTATCCCATAAAAAACTTACCTGATCTATCATTGAAACCGACGATCTCATGCGGACCAATCTTATTCTCATCATCAACTGCGTGACAGTTAACTGATGAACTTATTTAATAAGGTAATTGCATATTCGATTTTGTATATCGGATACGATTTCAAACCTTCTAGAAAGAACCTCCACCTTGGAAGAAACTCGAAATAGAACAATAAGCATTAGATGTCAATATAAAAATCTTTTAAGAACGGGTGTTTTTAAAACTACTCTTTTGAGGAAAAGTGTTATTTCTATGGCACCACTTGTTTATAATAAGTTACCGAATAATATCAAGGAACAAACACTAACTAAATGACAATGACCAAATTTGTATGGAGCGTGGTGCCTTTTTGTTTTTTCGCGGCAGTTGATCGGATGTGGAAAAACTGATGCAGAATTACATTACAAATAAAAAAATATATGGGATCTTATATCAAAAACACAGTCCAAACCGAGTTAAATCAGTTCAAAGATGTGAAAATAGTGCCATATTATTCCTGTTATTTTGTTGATAACCGACCGTACACAACGTATATTTCTTCATTTACTTGTCAGAAATATTTTATAATAAATGTTTATAAACGATTTCAAGGAATATAATAAAGCTTATTGTGAACTTTTTTATTTAATTTTTTTTGTAATTTTTTTGTTATAAGGCCACTGAATCAGAACCGAGTAAACTATTAACTGGCTACTGCTGAAGTAAAAAGAACATTTCGCTTGATTGGCTAGTGTGTTCACTTTATATGTAACTATACGGTTTATGGCCTACGACAGATTTTCATGATCAATTTCCTCTCAGTCGAAAACTCGCAAAATACTTTACTGAGCCCTATCATTATCATGAAATGTTTGTCAGCTGCAGCGTCGGTAGCGGATTGAGTAGCGGCAGTCGTCAAAACCCAAAAAAATATTTTTCTGTCTACTTCTTCCGACTTACTCCGGATTAGTAACTAATCTAACTACAGTTAATACTTTAATCGACAGCTAGCATAAGATTTTGTACAAAGATATCGTCATTCAGTCACAAAGTGATGGATTATATTACGACTGATCACATTACATGAAAAAATTATGCGCTCATCTGACGTATAGTCAATCACTTTACAAAGTCGACGGTTTCCTTTCTTCAAAAGATTATGCTAACTATAAAGAAGATGAGTCTTCCACCAGGAGTCAACGGCAAAAAAAAAATACTTTATTAGATGTTTGGACGGCTACCACTACCCAACTCACCACTGTTACGACAGCTGACGCTCATGAAGCTTCTTGATACAACTCCTAGAAGCATCCCACAAGTTATCGACTGAGAGAAAATAGCTAATAGAAATTAGTGCCTGGCAATATGGATATATTGTGGTGTGATATGGTGTTCCTGTGTCCGGCGTACAATGGCGCGCAATTTGAAGTTAGGAATTGTGACAAAAATATGAATAATTTGAATAAAAAATCCAGAGTAAAATGTTTGACTCCAGCTCCTTTCAACGCTCATAACTCAGTCCAGACTGAGATTTCCATATATGAGCCTATAGACAATTTCGTTTTAATGTCATTCTAGATAATATTTTCCATAAATCATCGACTCCCGCCTAAAAAAGAAAGGCAGAAAAGAATTTTAGTCAATGCCCTTTAAGAAGCATGTTACAGAATTACTTTTGATCAAGTGTTATTATTCAGTATAAGGTTTTTTGGATGATAAGTTTTAATAAATTCATTTATTTTTAAAAGTACAAGGAACCTTTAAATTTTGTAACGCCTAAAAAATGTTACCTACATTCATAGCAAATAAATAATCTATTCTATTCTATTCTATTATTTTCTATTCTATTCTATTCTACAAAAGAGCATATACCTTTTTAAAAGCTCGGCTACACACCTCCTCTCTTGTTTCGGTTGACCATGGGCCTCCTAATTCTACTAATTCCTTATAATTTGTATTTCAGGGCGACAAAGGTATGAACATAGAAGATGTATGGCAGGTAGGACCTTTCAAAACCAAGGAGGGTCGACTCCGGGAGGCTAACAACGTGAAACATTGCGTCGATAGAGGATACATATAAATATAAGTAACTGCTGTCGTTTAAGGTGTAACGTTAAACCATAGCCATGTGAACAGCTAAATCATAGTATAAAGAAAAGGGAAGTAAGTTATCTTCATACAAATGCATTGCGCGCGGCTTATATGTGTGCTCCATAGTATCTATGCGTCGACGCACGCACACTTTAACAAAATCTCGACCCGTTTCTCAGTGCGCCAGGCAGGGCTAACACTGCACGAGGTTCGCGCGCGCATCACTTTTCGGCACTGTTAAATGAATAGAAATGTCTGATAATCGTAGAAGAACGAATTGCTGTGTGTTTGGGTGTCTTAATAATTCATCGATGCCAGAACTATCTCTGTTCAGATTACCTATTGAACAGGAGAGATAAGCTAGTCACTTATTCTAGCATAATATAATTTGTACTTTATGATGAGATACCTACTTACTTATTTTTTGTTTGTGTTAGTTTCCTATCAGTATCACATAGGAAGTAGGTAGGCCCAATTTCCTATTAGAATGTATTAAGTAGGTACTTTTGATCTGGTAATTGATTTGCCGCTATTGTCGCCTATTGTTTTGTTTACGTTGAGTTATGGTTATGTTTTTTCTCAGTATTGTAGGTATGTTTAGTACCTAATTACAGTTATAAAATCGTAATTCAAAATAAGTGATTGACTATGGTCTATCGATTTATGTGGTTAACTAAAGGTAAACAACCTTGGTATGTAAGCTGCGCCTAAACTAAAAGTGACAACCCTAAGACAGTAGGCAATTATATCGCGGATTGGGAAGAAGATGGCCTACTTCCCTTTTCTTTATACAATGGCTAAATTTTTCTATAAGTTGGGGTTGCAAACGACCTCATGGGTCACCTGATGGTAAGCAATCAGCGCTGCTCATAGACACCCGAAACTAATCTCAACGTTAATTTAATGAATTATTATGTTTTCGGCTTACTCACGTAATTTTGGACTGCACGGTTGGTGCGGTGGCTGGGCAACCGGTTGCCGTGCAACGTGTCGCGGGTTCGATTCCCGCACGGAACAACACTTTGTGTGGTCCACAAATTGTTTGTTTCAGGTCTGGGTGGCATTTGTATGTGAACGTGTATGTTTGTAAACGCACCCACGACACATGAGATAATCCTAGTGTGGGGCAACGTTTTATTAAAAGGAAAAGGAATTATTTGACGAGACTAGTTTCAAGCATCATATTCGCGGCCTGCGACGCGGCAACTGTCGCGCTGCTATGGTCGTGAAATGCTGTGTATTATGTGCCTTTAGCATGGCTTGAGTAGTGAACATGGTAGTCGAGTTCCTCGTCAAATAATTACGTGAGTAAGCCGAAAACATAATAATTTATTTAGTATGTCAATTTAATGTCTATCCATGGACATCTCAATACCAAAATTGTCACGTAGCTTTCTGCCTCGTACAGCAAAACTGTGAACACTACCTACCCCCTTACAGGTTACATTCTGCTTAGGAATGACCGAATAGTTAGGAGGGGGGAGGTGTGGCAGTGTATCTTCGCAGTGACTTCCCTTACAAATTACTCAAACTTTCTCCCGTAAATTGTCCTGCTGAGTATATATTCTTGGAGGTTTGTGTCCAGGGGGCCAAAATTCTTATTGGGGTTGTATATTGCCCTCCAACTGTCGATTACTTCAATGAATTCGAATCAGTTTTAGAATCCGTGGGTTCAATGTACGAACATCTCGTAATCATGGGTGACTTTAACACTGACCTGCTTACCCACTCCCCTCGATCCCGCAAACTCCTACACCTGGTCGAGTCAGCTAGTCTGCACATATTACCACTCCAACCCACTCACCACAATACTGTTGCAGACGACTCCTGGCTCGATCTAATCCTCGCATCCAATCCGTCCCTCGTCTCTTGTCATGGTTAACATGACGCTCCGGCATTTTCTCATCATGATCTTATATACCTCTCCTACATCCTGAAACAACCCAAGGCAAAACCCAGGGTACTGTACAGACGTTGCTTCGGGAAGGTAGACAATGAGAAGCTTTTGGAGGACGCGTCCAGAATAGACTGGGAACCACTTATGGAAGCCACTACGGTTGATGACAAGATTGAAATTTTCAACAAAGCTGTTACAACATTAACTTTTATATATTTTTTTATTTTTTTTTACTTAATGAAATATTAACCTTTATGACCATCATGCGCCTGTCAAAAAATCCGATTAAAACTTGCTCCGGCACCGGGGATGACCAGAGGGATCCAGGCGGCTATGCGTCGTCGACCGCACGTTTCGGAAGCACAAGAGGGATCGGACAGAGGAGAACTGGACGGCATATAAAACTGCGAGGAATAGATGTAATCAGGTGGTACGCAACGCCAATCGTCGCCATATTCTCAATAATATTTCCTCTTCATCTCCAGCTGATATCTGGAAGTTCTTGAAGACTCTAGGTATCGGCAAACCGCAACCCGCTAACCTTCCTTCTTCGATAGGCTTAGATGAACTTAATAATCGTTTTTCCACTGTCTCATCTCTGGATCACCTAACTAGGCGAAACACCTTGTCTTCTATTTCCCGTCTGCCTCATCCTGGGGTCGAAAATTTCCGCTTCATACCAGTTCAGTCGGAGGAGTTTCGTAAGACAATCCTCTCCATTAAATCCAAAGCTGTTGGCTGTGACTCCATCTCCCGTGACATGATCACGTCCATCCTGGTTTATCTCCTTCCAGCAACATCGCTTACCATCAAGCGAGATGGTGGTCAAACGTCGACCTATAAAGTGTAAAAAAAAGTGAAGATGTGAAGGATCTTGGCTTACATATATTAATAACACATTGAGCTGGCGTGCACAGGTCACTAGTGTATGCCAGAAGGTAACTGGGTCGTTGCGAGGCTTGTACCGCCTTAGAAACTTCCTTCCGTCTACTACCAAGGCACGGCTCGTGCAGGCCCTAATTTTTCCTATCATCGATTATGCTGATGTGTGTTACTACGACCTGAATGCAGATCGTTATGACATTCGAGACCACTGGGCCAGACCACCGTCCTATTGGACGAAACTAGAATTGCTAGCTAAAATAGGTATATGTACATATATATAACATAACATCACGCCTTTTATCCCCGAAGGGGTAGGCAGAGGTGACCATTACACCGCTGTACAATGTAACACCCACTTTTCACTATTTATGTTATGAGTCCCATGTAATAGGGGGTGACCCTATTGCCATATACCGGTTAATTGCTTACAAGCTTCGATTTAAAAATCTAGACCTTTGCATTTAAAGAAATATGGCATGGTACCGGTTTCCATACAACTGGAGTTGAATATCAAGTGATGCCAATGATTAAAGAAATAAAAGGATATGAACTGTGTACGTACTTGTGTGCCAAAATGGAAACAAACATGGCTTAGACTCTGCCCTCTGCCCATTAAATAGTGTAGTGACAAAAGTCGTTTGTGAGCTACATGAACCACAATTGATTTTTGGTACCTTTTCTGAAGTACGTGGTTTTATATAGAAAACAGACATTGAACCGAGTAGTTAGTAAGTATACTTTCAAGATAAAAAAACATTTTCTAAGATAATCTAAATAGTTTGATGAATATGTTACTTAATATAATATATGTTACTGATACATGGCAATGCATTTATCAAACATTTTAGTTGAATTTAGTCATGAATAATTAATTACTTTAGATAATGGTGTTGGTATTGCATGTGCGAGTATTCTGCGTGTAAATTATAAAATCTAAGCCCATGCCATAGTTGTTGTTTCAATAAAATACGTCCGCCACTTTTTCAACGTCCTAGACTTCAAATGACAAAAAATAATTTTTTTTTTTTTTTTTTTCTTTCTTCTTTGGCAACCGAGTCTCCAATACGATGTTGTCGACTATACTGCCAGTGTCAGGTGGTGACGGCAGATTAATGAGCCGTCGAAGTTAACTTTGCGGTAGTTTTTAGTAGTTAGTAACTGAAAGGACAAAACAATTGGGTTAGTAAACATATAAATATTAACAACTATTTTACTGTATGAGTACAGGGGTGAAGAAAATAGTTGAGGGGACGTACACAATGCACAATACAGACACACAGATATATACGCCATTTACATAAATGTCACCGTCATAGTTTAATCTCATTATCATTAATGAATCTACATAAACAATGGATTAATTTAGGGGAAAAGTGAGTTAAAAGGAGGTGGAAATTAATTGGAAGTGGGATTTGAATACTGGGGAGTTTTTTATAAAGGTCAAAAGATTGGGAATTTAAAGGACACGAAAAAAATATATGGTCTACAGTTCCCTCGTCAAGGCCGCATTCACACAGCGAGCTGTCGCGGACACGGATCTTGTTGAGGAAGACTGGGCTACTACAATGGCCGAGTCTGAGTCTGCACAAGGATGAAACAGTGTGGCGGGGGAGCTTAGGGTACTTGGAAAACCAAGCCTCCGCCGGATGCCGGCTGACACTTGCATAGAGCTCCTTTACTTTTGAAGTGTCACCCACACTGCAGCCCATGAGTCAAAAAGCTTGTGTTTGGTGTCGGCACGTACATCATACCCGTAACCACGTAGTGTTGACGTTCGACATCGTTCGAGGCCGCAAATTTGGCTAAGGAATCCGCACACTCGTTACCGCATATGCCAGAGTGGCCAGGAATCCAAGCGATCTCGATGTTTAGGCCATCATTGAAGCAGGAAAGAAGAAGCGCCTTTATCTCAACAACCAAACTGCTATGGGTTCGGGAATGGAGCTGATCTTGGTTGAGGGACTGTAGGCTACTTCGGGAATCAGAAAAAATTACGGAATTTTTGAGGTTGTGAGCTCTAATAAATTTGAGTGATTCCAAAATGGCTGCACATTCACCCGTGAAGACTGATGCCTCCGGGGACACTTGGAGAGGAGAGCGATCCTCGAATTTTGGAAGTACGCTGCCACTCCTGTACATCCGATTCGGGATAATTTAGACGCGTCTGTGTAGAAGGTATTCCAACCTCTCCAGTATTTGTCCAAGGC